GTCGAGATTGCAGCACAAATCCTATCCATAGCCAAGCAAGATGACGAACAACAAGACAGAGAAAAATAGTGAGCTTGGGATCCAAATTTGTATTATTTATGACCAACTTAATATGTGTTAACAACTTAACATGCCTGCATAAGCTTTAGCATATTTGTCAATGCAAAACAGAAATTGCAAATGCATTCAAAGTGGATGCTGACAAGTTTTATCTATATAAGCATTCAAAACAAAAGTTGCAAAGGCTCGCTGTTTCTCTCGAATTTTTCCTTAGTAATTTTCCTTGGAAGACAAACATCTGACTGGAGGACTGCTTGATGGAGAAGGCGAGGCGGGAAAGACAGTCGGTTGCTCGAACGGAAGAGTCACGCACGAAGACGAGAAGAGGAGACGGATTGGGATTTTTTACGGCGCTTAAAACGTAGTGTTAGAATAGATAAAAGGGGTGTTTTAGGTGGTATATAAGTAAATATGATAGTTTAGGTATTAGATATATAATAACAATAGTTTTAAGTGTTATGTATATAAAAATCCCATGATTTTCTTGTACACAAGGTAGGATAAAGGTTAGCCTAGGGCCCACAATGCTAGGTCCAAATAAAAGTTTACCAAAGTTTGACCTAGTAAACTAGGGTTGAATAAATATCCTAAGTTGAATATGGCCAAGATGGTTCAAGTACACATAAAATGAGTATAAATAGCGCATTTAGTGCACTCATAAAGGCTTATTAAGTATAGTTTGCATCATGCTAGGGTTTTATGGGTTGCTTGGGTCTATTTGGGCTTTTACTACTTTGGTCTCTTAGGCTCACTTGGTTAGGTCAAGGTTAGTGGCCAAGATGAGATTAAGACTTCATTTGCGACGATTTTATTACTGAATTTTTTATGCTAGAAAGCTAATTTAAGAAGCAAAAAAGAAAGCCGTCTCAAATGAAGCCTAAGTCTAGGCTTTAAGACTAACCAAAATGTGGTATAAATGCAATCAAATTTTTAGAGTCCAAAAGGTAGGCATTGTTTGATGATTGTTATAAAAAATTCTTTCTCGGGAGACTACCAATATAGATTGCAAAAAGTTGAAATTCAAAAATGAGTTATTGGTAGAAGAGATATACTGAAAATTGAGTGCATTTGAGCTATTCCATTTGAGGAAAAAAAGATGCATAAAGGAATACTTATAGTACACCATATGTAAATATTGCAAAAGTATTGATACTGAATTTTATTTGGAAGTAGAAAGAGATTTTAACAAGTTTTTTAAATATGGTGATTTTGTTATATAGTATCATTGTTAATAATTTATCAACAATTTTTTTGCCGCAATTTTAATGTGGAATATAGTTCATTTTAATAAACTATATTGAATATATTATAATATTTTAAAAGCACTAATCATTAATTAATTTTAACCTTTATTTTCTTTGTTTATAAAGTTTACAAATTTAACCTTATCCCTTAAGGCTATTTGTTTGGATTGTATTCTGATTCTTGTTTTTCTCCTATATTCTAACTTTTTGGTTGCTTCTGATGTGGCTCAGCACGCGATTTTTATTATCCTAGTGATTTCACTGCTCTCGCTTTTACATAGACTATATCATAATATCTGGTTACTCTTGAATTTTGGCCTCTGGTTCTCGCCCAGAATTAGCTGGTTCGCTACTTGCATTTTTCATCTTTGTGTGTGTGTGTGTGTGTGTGTGGGTGGGGTGGGGGGGTGGGGGTGTGGACATAATATAAAGTGGTCCTAAGATAAAAGTAATTTTAAATTGTTATTAATCCTTGAATTGTTGATTGGGAGTTTGTCTCCCAATTAAGAGGTCCAAGGTTCAAGTTATGAAACAAAGTTGAGTATAAAAAAGTTCTCCTTTGAGTTGAATACAATGTGATATAAATTTTGTGCATGTAAAACTCTCGTAGTTTTTTCCCTTGCCAACCAAGATTTTGTGCCAACCTATTGGGAAGACGAGCAAATGCATAAAGGAGATCAAGTAGCGAAGCAAGAGGCTTAAAATAGATTTTGAATAGAGCTTTCATTTGGTTGACCAAAATAGGATCCAAGGACTAAATAAGGCTTTAGAGTTGACTATGTGGGTCCTTATGATCAAATTGAATCCACTAATGTCTTGGAAAAATTGGGCTACTTGAGCTAACATTTAGAGTAGCCTAGATTTGAGTCTTTGGGTCAATTGGGATTGATTTGACAGATGTTCTAGGTTTGATCTTGGTTTAGATTTTGTTTATGTTTGACCTAATGTGGGTCTAAGGTCTAGGTGGCAAGGTCTAAGATTTTAGGGATTTTTACATGCATAACACCTAAAACTATTGCTATTACATATCTAACAACTAAACTATCATATTTACTTATATATGACCTAAACAACATTCCTAACATCTGAAATTCCACTTCGTTTGGTTCTCGTCAAAACCCCACCCCGATGTCTGCGAGCCTATTATTTTTCGAGCACGTACTGCCACTCTCCAACATCACCCCCCCCCCCCCGCCCCCCCCCCCCCCCCCTCCCTCCCTTCCTTGACATCATACCATCGATGGTGACAACGACGAGGGGTAGGCCGCCGAACTTTCGTAGTATTCCATGAGCCACTCCTCCTGCTCGTCGGGAGGTCCCACCGACAAGGCGGGAAATACCTTCTTGCGAAAAAGCATCCACGACTCCTCCGGTGAAAGTGGTTGTAGGTGGGGGACTTGGCTCGCCGTGCCAGTGAGGGAGGTTACTAATTCCTTTTTTTCTGGTGGTGATTATGACACGGCTTCCATGGTTGTTGAATGGCAGAACGAGCTTAACTGCATCCCTCAGCATGCTTCTCCAGACATCAACAAGCATGAGGAGGACTTGGCTAGCACCCAACCGAGCAGCTGCTCTAGATCTTTCAGCCACCAACCAAGAAAACCAAAATAAAGTAATTGAATTTTCATCAGCTCCCTCATCTAATCATGATTGAACTGAAACATTGCCAAAGGAATCTCATGAACCTACACAGTAAACAAATGAATGGGATAACAAAACACCAACTATAAAGCCATTAATACATTCCTTCTTTTGTTAATACATTATGTGGTTGCTGTGGAATGTCGAGATTGCAGCACAAATCCTATCCATAGCCAAGCAAGATGACGAACAACAAGACAGAGAAAAATAGTGAGCTTGGGATCCAAATTTGTATTATTTATGACAACTTAATATTTGTTAACAACTTAACATGCCTGTATAAGCTTTAGCATATTTGTCAATGCAAAACAGAAGTTGCAAATGCATTCAAAGTGGATGCTAACAAGTTTTATCTACAAAAGCATTCAAAACAAAATTTGCAAAGGCTCGTTGTTCTCTTGAATTTTTCCTTAGTAATTTTCCTTAGAAGGCAAACATCCGACTGGAGGACTGCTTGATGGAGAAGACGAGGCGGGAAAGACAGACGGTTGCTCGAACGGAAGAGTCGCGCATGAAGACGAGAAGAGGAGACGGATTGGGATTTTTTACGGCGCTTAAAACATAGTGTTAGAATAGATAAAAAGGGGTGTTTTAGGTGGTAAATAAGTAAATATGATAGTTTAGATATTAGATATGTAATAACAAAAGTTTTAAGTGTTATGTATATAAAAATCCCAAGATTTTCTTGTACACAAGGTAGGATAAAGGTTAGCCTAGGGCCCACAATGCTAGGTCCAAATAAAAGTTTACCAAAGTTTGACCTAGTAAACTAGGGTCGAATAAATATCCTAAGTTGAATATGGCCAAGATGGTTCAAGTACACATAAAATGAGTATAAATAGGGCGTTTAGTGCACTCATAAAGGCTTATTAAGTATAGTTTGCATCATGCTAGGGTTTTATGGGTAGCTTGGTTCTATTTGGGCTTTTACTACTTTGGTCTCTTAGGCTCACTTGGTTAGGCCATGGTTAGTGGCCAAGATGAGATTAAGACTTCATTTGCAACGGTTTTTTTACTGAATTTTTTATACTAGAAGCTAATTTAAGAAGCAATAAGAAAGCCGTCTAAAATGAAGCCTAAGTCTAGGCTTTAAGACTAACCAAAATGTGGTATAAATGCAATAAAATTTTTAGAGTCCAAAAGGTAGGCGCTGTTTGATGATTGTTATAAAAAATTCTTTCTCGGAGACTACCAATATAGATTGCAAAAAGTTGAAATTCAAAAATGAGTTATTGGTAGAAGAGATATACTGAAAATTGAGTGCATTTGAGCTATTCCATTTGAGGAAAAAAAGATCCATAAAGGAATACTTATAGTACACCATATGTAAATATTGCAAAAGTATTGGTACTGAATTTTATTTGGAAGTAGAAAGAGATTCTAACAAGTTTTTTTAATATGGTGATTTTGTTATATAGTATCATTGTTAATAATATATCCACAAATTTTTTGCCGCAATTTTAATGTGGAATATAGTTCATTTTAATAAACTGTATTGAATATATCATAATATTTTAAAAGCACTAATCATTAATTAATTTTAACCTTTATTTTTTTCGTTTATAAATTTTATAAATTTAACCTTATCCCTTAAGGCTATTTGTTTGGATTGTATTCTGATTCTTGTTTTTCTCCTATATTCTAACTTTTTGGTTGCTTCTGATGTGGCTCAGCACGCGATTTTTATTATCCTAGTGATTTCACTGCTCTCGCTTTTACATAGACTATATCATAATATCTGGTTACTCTTGAATTTTGGCCTCTGGTTCTCGCCAAGAATTAGCTGGATATGCTTATCAAACTCTTTAAACTACTTCATTTGCTGCATTTGGGAACTCGTTGGAATGGATCTTTTGTTTGCTAGGTTTCTGGTTTTTATTTTCTGGAGATTTGTAACTCTTTTTTTGTCAGGAGAATTCATCATCGGTCCATAGATTTTGGTTCATTAATTTGAAAGCAATGAATGTACAGATTATCCGCATTCCCATTTCTAGGCTTGATGCATCTCGGATTTGTTGTATATTCTTCCATCTCTTATAAGTCAATTCTTTCTTAAACCCAGAATAGGATTTCTCCTAGAAACCGTCGTAATCCTTCTTTTAATTAATAACATGGACTAGTCTCAAGTTTTACTAAAACAAAATTAATGAAATATTCTCGCGACAAATAAATCATTTCAATGATCTACAAGAAAAGGAAAAAATGGGATTGAAGAGTAGCTGAAAACTGTTGAGAACTGAAGATTACTTGATGTGACTAGGATGCCATATGAAGAGAAACAAGTGAAGCATAATCACCATTTGGTATGTTCATGAGTGTCTCATGCCGCCCTTGCTCGGAAATAACGCCATTCTTGACCACAGCAATAATATCTGCACCTTGAATTGTGGATAAGCGATGGGCAATGCTTATAGTCGTCCTGCCGACCATCACACGGTCGAGTGCTTCCTGCACTACTCGTTCTGACTCTGCATCCAATGCACTGGTGGCCTCATCTAGTAGAAGAATCTTAGGGTTTCTGATCATAGCCCTCGCAATGGCAATGCGTTGCTTCTGCCCGCCTGAGAGCTGAACACCTCGCTCCCCAACATTCGTATCGTAGCCCTGAGGAAGCGATGAAATAAATTGGTGGCCGTTCGCTGCCTCAGCGGCGGCGATGATCTCATCCTCAGATACATCGCCTTGCCTGCCATAGGCTATGTTGGAACGTATTGTGCCGCTGAACATCACAGGCTCTTGGCTTACCAATCCCATTTGTTGCCTGAGCCAGCTGATTTTTAACTTCTGTATCTCAACCCCATCAATGAGAATGGTACCTGAATCAGGATCGTAGAATCGCTCAATGAGAGAGATCACTGTAGACTTTCCACTGCCACTCTCACCAACAAGCGCAACTGTCTGCACAATCATTGAAGGTGCAAAATCAACGCCTCAAAATATATCCAAATTTGAGAGACATGCTACTGAAGATGAAATGATGCGTTAACTAGTACTTATGTAATTTTGTAGGTGAACATGATTTTCTTTAAAATATCAGTTTGCTGATAACTTAGGGGAAAGCATTTCAAAAGCAGAAATTTTGAAAATATTGAAATTTGATTATACGTAAAATAAATATAATGCAAAATTTTGGTGTATTTGAACTTCAACATCTAGTTCATTCTTGGTGTATTTAAATTCCTCTAATCTTGACGAGTTTCAAAAACACCGAAAATTCATTGCAATTGCCACTGCACGCCGTCGCCACGCGCCGCGGCCGACCACTCCCCTGCACTGCTAGCCACCGATGATCACTGTTGACTACCACCGACCACCACCACCACAGACATCCATTTTTCATTGTATTTATTTTATATTGCATTCTAATTTAAGGCATCCAAACAGCCCTTTAGTTTACATTTATGGTGCCACAGTTTGCTTAAACTAGAAAAAGAAAAGGGGCAAAAAAAACATGCCAACCAACCAACAAATGAATAAGAAAGATAGTATTATAATTTATAGGAGTGCCAACGAGCAGAGCGAATAATATTACATAATAGTTTATGATTTAAAAAGCAGGAAATTAACAAGTTGCGCTCAATGAGACTTTTAACCTTTACCTTGTCATCTGTATTAACAATGTGCTTTTGGATTAACGACGTGGATTTGATTTCATTTGTTTTAACTTCTCTCGTAGGAAGAGAACTATAATTGACGCAACAAAGAGAATAAGTCAGGTTTCTAAATGAATGTATGCAGAGCTGCAGGAAGATTTTTTTTCTCATTTGACATCAGAAGTTTTGAATACAGAAGAATGTCGGTGCCTACTAGCTTGGTAAAGATTTTAAAAGTTGTTTCCCTTCTACAAAAAAATTAACTTTCCCAAAAATATAAAAGAAAAAAATTGAAATTTCCTTACGGTTTCTAAAATAAAGAACAAGAAGGTTGACATCATACCTTTCCAGAAGGCATTCTTAAGCACAGATCTTTAAAGATCTGCGCTTGTGGACGCGTTGGGTACTTGAAGGTAACGTGCTGGAATTCAATTTCCCCCATAACTTCAGCCGGCATTAAACCGTCATCAATACTCGCATCAATCTTGGATTTCCGATCAAGAATTTCAAATATAGAAGCAGCTGAGTCTTTGGCTTTTGTAGCATCAGGCGCGAGTGCACTTGATTGTGAAACTGAATTAGCTGCCATTGTCAGAGCAAAGAACACCTGCCGTTCAAAAGGAAGAAAGCGCAAAAGTAGAGTGAAACTCTTGCTATTATTGAGAATATGAACTAGTAGAATGGAGAAGTGAAATGTTCGTACCCTGAAAACATCGGTAAATGTTGCACTTCCATTATGTAAAAAACGAGCTCCAACGTAGAAACATAGAGCATATGTACAATACAGCATGAAAAATGAGAATCCATAGCCAATTCCACTTATTAGTCCCTGCCGAATTCCTTGTGTCTCCGGATTTTTACATTTCCTTTGATAAGCATTCATTACCTTTCCCTCTGCACAAAAGGAAGCCACAGTACGGATGCTAGTGACTGCATCACTTGCCACTTGACTTGCTTCTTCATACATAATCTAAAACGAACCAACAATAGTATTACCAGGAATGAATTTAATTTGTTCTAACAAACATATAGTTCCTGAAGCAAAGGCTAACCAATTTATTATAAAAGTATAGTTTATGTTACCTTGGCATCAGCACTAAATCCATGAAGGAATTTCATCTGCGCATAACCCTGCAGCCCAACCAGAGGTACAATTACCAAGATTACAAGTGTTAGCTTCCAATTTGCAACGAACGCTATAACTAACCCTGCTGTAACCGTGGCTAAGTTCTGAACTACCAAAGCTAAAGTGTCACCAACGAGGCTTTTCACAGATGCAGCGTCTGAAGATAGCCTTGCACCTATTGCCCCACTGTAAAAGAGAGAACAAATTTGTTTCTCGTGAATGCCTGGCTAAAAAAAGTACATGAGACAAGCTTTAACCTTCATTTAAAAGGCAGTACCTAGTATTTGCAGGTTCGTCAAACCAGCTGATATCTTGGCGCACCACCTTTTCAAATGATAGTGAACGGATGCGTTCTATGAGCTTCCCACCGGCAACTCCAAACCAGTAATATTGTACTGGCACGAAAAGGAATGAAAAGAGACCTAATAATACATGCATCAGGGCCCAAAACCTGGAATCCTTTCGGAGTTGATGTGGTGGTTCATAGAATGTCTTGATTGAACTAGACATTAAAATTCCAAAGACAGGAAAGATGACTCCATGGAAAGCAGCACCAATGGATCCTACAAGAAGAGCTGGGATCTCGGGCTTGTTCAGGTAAGCAATCCGCATGATAGAAACCTCCTTCCTCCCCTTGGTATTGCCACAATCTTCGTTCCAGTCATCGCATGCTTCTGTGTTGTTTAATTCAGTCTCAACGACACCAGGCAATCCAAAAGAGTGTCTAAATGAAAACTGACTGCATCCTCCATACGAAGAGCCGCGTGAGATTGATCTCGTTTGGGAAAAAGCAAGACTTCCTGATGCTTTTAAAGAAATAAAAGCATCACTGCTTAGCCCTGTTTCAGCTAAGCTCTCTGGAAATGCTAACTCTGATTCTTTGTTTAGTTCCTGCAGTCGTACAAGCTGGGAATAAGCCCCATCATGATTCTCAATCAATTCAGAGTGAGAACCTGCAATTCATGATTATATAATCATCCGTCCTTTAAGAAATAATTGCTTCACTACTCAAAATTCTTCCAAGAATTAGACAAAAAAAATTCATACCTTGCTCAACAAGCTTTCCTCTCTGAACAACTGATATGGTGTCAGCATTCCTTACTGTAATCAACCGATGGGCAACAATGATGGTGGTTCGGTCAACCATGATATTTACCAGAGCATCTTGAACAACTCTCTCAGATTCTGCATCCAATGCACTGGTTGCCTCATCCAAAAGTAAGATTCTAGGATCCTTCAGAATTGCTCTAGCTATTGCAATTCTCTGTTTTTGTCCACCAGATAGCTTAGTACCGTGCTCCCCAACCATTGTCTCGAGACCCTATTCAAAATCATCAAGTGATTAAAGCTGTTTTGAAGAAGCTTCATGTAAAGAATATAACTAAATAATTAGTGGAAGTCGTTTTCTACATTAGGCAATTCGTCTATGAACTTTGAAGCATTAGCAAGCTCAATTGCTTTCCTAATTTCTGCAGCACGAGCACCTTCCTTTCCATAAGAAATGTTTTCATTGATAGTGGTTGTAAAAAGAACAGGTTCTTGGCTGACAAGTCCAATCTTTTCCCTTATCCACCTTAGTTTGAACTTCTTCAGGTTGATACCATCTATCAATACTGCACCAGCTTGGGGATCATAAAACCTCTCAACAAGACTAATCACTGTTGACTTACCACTACCACTCTCACCAACAAGAGCCATGGTTGTACCACTTGGCACATGCAAAGAAAAGCCATTAAATATCAAATGATCAGGCCTGGCTGGGTAGCTGAAGTAAATATCCTTCAGTTCTATGTCGCCCTTGATGTTTTCCAACACAATGCCATTGTTGTTATATGAATCAATCTCTGGTTTCCGATGGATTGTCATAAACATCTTGTATGCAGCAGCTTGTCCTGCTGCAAATGCACTTACACTGGGGGATGCCTGACCTAAGGATCTATCACAACCAACTTAATTAGAGTTAAAGGATGGAACTGTTAAGCAAAACCAGAATGATTAATTGCTCAAGGGAATGTTAACAGTCTTAAAGAGAAGACGATGACTCACGTTGCACCTGTCATAACAGCCAGCATAACATTGATGACTTGCCCTCCGTTGTAGCCTTTAGTAAGGACCAGTTTAGCACCATACCAGACAGCTAAGGCATAGCTGCAAAAAACAAGCATAATAACACTGCCAATACCAAGTCCAGCTGCAGTTCCTTGGTGAACAGCTGATTTGTAGGCATTACAAATGAATTTATTATACTTCTGGATGGCTTGCCTCTCCCCAGAGAACGACGCAATCTTTGTGCAAACAATTTAAAGAAAAAAAGTGCAGAAGACCAATTTAATTCAATGATTAAATATGAGGAAAGAGTATAAAGAAAAATAAATACAGGATGAATGCGTGCTTACTGTCCTAATGGATCCCACTGTTTGCTCCACAACAGATCCTGCTTCAGCATATGCTGACTGTCCACGAGCTGACAATTTTGATATTATTAAGGACAATGCTGCGCCAGCCATTACAATGAAAGGAACACTACACAGCAACACCAGCGCCAAAAGCCACCCTTTGACAAATGCTATGACAAAGCCCCCAAGGAATGTCGACACAAGTTGTATAAATTTCCCAACCTTATATAACAATCATATTTTGAAGTTAGAATATTATAAACTATTTAGAAACAGCTTCGAAGCACTGATGATTTAGTAATAGCTTAGAAGCTCTGATGATTCAACAAATGTTTTAATCAACTAATCAGTTAAATACAATAATTATAAACTTTTGAAATCTGAAAAGAATAAATGTCTTAAATAATACCCAAAATTTTAGTTTTTGTATCAGTTTGTTTTTATGAGTTTTAAAGCGCCTGCCAACTTGAAGTAAAAGGTTATCTAACAAAAGGATATCTTTTACTGCCCAGTCAGTAGCTCACCTTTTCACCCATGGCATCTTGAATGAGTATTGTGTCACCGGACATCCTCCCTATCACTTCGCCAGTGTTTGTTTCCTTATCAAAAAATGCTATATCCTGTCTTAAAATGGTCTTTAGGTACAAACTACGTATACGTGCAGCTTGCCTTTCTCCGGTCACAATCCAACATGACACCTCTGCATAAATGATTTACAATATGGGAGTCAAAATTAAATCTGAGTCATGTAAGTTTATCATTATTGCCTTTGATAAAACTAGAGTGCTTTATAATGTTTAAGCCACAAATCCATGCAACTTAACACATAAGCAGCATTGGCTTCTGTAATGTCAATTATGTTAGAGGGATTTCAAGCATTATACAGTCATCTTCAGTTGCTAAATATTCAACAGAGCGTCTTTCAGAATAGTTCACAATAGGCATCCTCCAATTGAAGAACTAGAAACAAAGGGAAGATTTTTCATGGCCATAGGTTTAAAAAAGGTTTAACGAAAAGGGTTTAAAAAAAGCTCATTATGATGTGGCATCTATTTAAAAAAACTAGGAAGTAAGAGGATATGCACATATAATTAAATAATATTTGGACTCTGTAGCTTTATAATTACGTTTGTTTTAAAAGCATTAAAACTCAGTGTTTTGAAAAAAATTTATGAGAGGCAAAAACGAGACCAATAAATAGTGTAGAACAAAGAAGCCTTCTCGAGTCTTTGATGCTTTCAGTCTCTTTCCAAATTCAAGGTGAGTAAATGAGCAATTTAACAAATAAAAGGTACTAAGTACAGTGAAGTTACTCCATACGTAGAAATGATGCCACACCAGTGCCGATAGCTAAATATATGAATTGTAAGACAACCTGAAAAAAAGAAACATAAAAAAAGTTTAATATCCAAGCATGATCAAGTATGCTGCTAATTTAAAAAAAATTACAAAATAAAATAGGGGGAAAAAAAACTTGATCACAGCAACTGCAGTTCAAGTGAAATAAAAAAGAATTTTTTTTTTCTTACTGCAATTGATTGTTGGAAAAATCATAATAGTATATTTCAATCGGATACCTGAAAATCTCTAACCGATTTCCACATCAAGCAATTTTAAGTCCTACATAACTTTATTTATTATTCCACTAAGAAGCTTTTACTTCTTTCCATTACCTTGTTACACATCATAAGTTCATAACAATAATAAAATAAAATTTCACTATTTTGAGAGGGGGCACTACAGAAAATTGTTAGTTTTGTGGATAATAAAATAAAATTTCACTATTTTGAGAGGGGGCACTACATAAAATTGTTAGTTTTGTGGAATTTGATTATGTCAATCAATAGGGTTGCACTGTTGACTCAGATCTCAATTCCATTGATTAAGCTCTTTAAGGAGCTCACTAGCGAGTCGTAAGTGTACCGCAACCCCTACGCCAAGCATTGTTTGTACATTGCCAAGGTGTTATAGACCACCTTTAGGATAGAGAACTTAGCACCGAGGCACAACGAACCACCTGTGACAAAGAGGACCCAACGCCAATGCGCTATGGTCCAGCATTGCGGCACTGCGATCTGGCTGAGTCAATTTTTTTTCTTTTCATATTGTGTGAATTGTAATTGAACAATGATTGTACTCTAAGGTATGAAAGAGTGTTAAAACTGCAAAAGAGTATACAAAGAGAGTAAGGTTTGTATAATTTCTTTTAATTTCATAGTAGAATTCTTGGTGTGGTGTGGCTCTTTTTTATTTTTCCAGTTTCGAGTTTTCCACATAAATTCTTATGTTCTTTCTTTGTTGTTGTTTTCTTTTTTGTTTAATTCCAACAACTAATATCGGAGCCTCATTTTTTTGGTTCAAATGAGAGTAATGGATGGCGAAACAAGATACAAAATTAAGAAGCTCAAAGATTCAACCTCTGCTTTTTGGATGATGTAAATTGAAGATCTCTTCTATAAGAAGAAGTTATATTTGCCACTGAATGGAATCACCAAGAAACCAGAATTGATGACTATGAAAGTAATTGACTAGACAACCATATGTTTGATTCCCATTTCACTTTCCTTGCCTCTCATTTTTAACATTATTAATTAGAAAACTTATGTTAATCTCATAGTTGCACTAACAAAGTAATACAGTCAGGATTTATCATTTTTTTTCTTATATTTTTTGTGCTATGCAATTTTACTTTGTATGGCCCTATGATGGAAAAAAAACTCATGATCATGTTGAGTTTGATGCTCTCAGGTCGGTTCACAACATTGACCTTCCACTTGTGCTTTCTCAATTCTTTTCTCCTGTGGCTGATTGGTTTTTCTTTTTTTGTTTTTTTGGTTTCCCTGCTGGCTGCTTGCAGCTATCTATTCAGTTTCCCTAATGTCTGCTCGGTTTTCCCTGCGGCTCCTCAGTTTTCCCTATGGCTGCTTGATTTTCCTATTGCGGGCTACTCGGTTTTCCCTTTTGTCAAATCCTATGCTGGAAACTTTAATTCCTCATTGAATTAGCTGAGTTGGGTGGTTTTTATAGGCTGATTTGGAGGCATATTTATGTGGGCTAATAATTACTTTTCTCCTTCTTTTTCACATATATAGTGGTTGAATTTCTTTGTGCAGGAGTTTTTGGTGAAGAAAAAATTCAACCCAAGGGTTTCTTAATGGCTTGCAAGCTAGTCTTCTCCCTATACCTAATTATTTCCTCTCAGTGTTCTTTCTACTTCTTCTCTCCACGGGTTCCCTTCCACCTATATCTTTCTTCTCTAAATATTGTGAGTTGTGAGATTGTGTTGTTACCCTATTTTGTTGGTATTTGCCTGAGGAGTGCAAACTTATGCTTGATCAAAATTTCAGTGGTGGATCACTCGTTAGATCTTTCCTTTGAGCACCTTTCCCTAATTTTCTGAGTTGCATGCAAGGTGAGCAGTTGTGGTTGTTTTGAGGGTTTTATAGTTTATGTGTTTTTGTATTTATCTTTCTTAAGCGATTTCCACATCATTTTCTCACATTTGTTTCCTACTAAGTCTCTTTTTATTGGTGTTTGTTTATCTTCTATTGAATGGAAGTTTCTTAATTGCATACCTAATGTTCTCCTAAAGGTTTAAGGACTTAGGTTGCATCAAAAAGATGTATGAAAAGTCGTCAACTTCAAATAATTTTTTTCTAATGAATAAGTTATTCAAAACTTCCTTTTGTTATAGCTCGTTGCAAAAGTGAAGGTACTCATATAATCACTAAAATATCTAAATCGACTAATAGTATAGAAGTTGATGCAAGTCTTTGTCCCTAAAGGTTTGGCCATATGAGTAAGAAAAGTATGAAATCCCTTCTAACTAAAAGAAAACTTCCTGGGTTAAAATCGACATTTTAGATTTTTGCAAATACCATATTATGAGAAGCAAAAAAAATTCAAAGACTAGTTCAAAATTTAAGTCAACGAAGCTGAAATTAGTGCATACAAATATACGGGATCCTTCTCCAATTCTTTCTATAGGAAGGTCTTTATATTTTATCCCTTTTATTGATGATTGTACTAGAAAGATAGATTTATATTTCTTAAAATACAAATCAAACATATTTAATGTGTTTAAAAAATGAAAAGATATAGTTGAGAACAATATAGGTCTAAAAATGAAGCATCTCAAATTAGATAATGGTAGCGAGTATCATAAGAAAAGTTTATGAAATTTTATGCTTTGAATGGAATCACACATAAATTCATTGTCCCAAGAACACCACAACAAAATGATTTTGCAAAGACATGAATAGAACTATCATTGAGAGTGCAGGAAGTATGAGATTACATGCTGGTTGATTCAAACAGTTTTAGCCAAAAGCAATGAATACTGTAATATGTCTGATCAATCGTGATCCATCAGTTCCACTAAATGAAGAGTTACTTGATGAAATTTGGAGTGACAAAGAAGTAAGTTTATCTCACATCAAAATCTTTGGTTCTACCTCTTATGTTCATATCGATGCAAGATCTAGGAGTAAGCTTAATCTAAAGTCTATCAAATATATATTTATTGGATATTATTCAAATGAATTTGGTTGTAAATTATGGGATTATCAAAATAAAAAAATTACAAGGAGCAAGGATATCACGCTCAATGAAATAAAATATAAGAATATAAATTAAATAAACCTAGAAGATTCTTCTAAATATGTTGAGACAGAGGATCAGAAAGGCAAACAAGAATTGTGCTTAAACCGATGAAGCATAATAAGTTCCTTAGACACCTGCTATTGTAGCCAGAAGATCCAGTATAATCTAATGACCTTCACAAAGATATTATCCTTATATTATTTATTGCAACAGATGTTGGTGAACCAGAGTTCTATGATGAAGCCATATAAGCTGATAATTCAAGGAAGTGAGAGTTAGCTATGGATGATAAGATGCAGTCACTCATGTAAAATCTGACTTTAGAATTGAACGAACTATTAAATGGAAAGAAAGTGCTATATAACAAATGGGTTTACAGATTAAAAAAAAAAATTGATGGTGGAAAACACCACAAAGCAACACTTGTAGTAAAACGATATTAGCAAAAGGAATAATTGGACTACATTGAAATTTTCTCTCCAGTTATGAAGACAACAACAATTAGAGTTGAGTTGAATATAATAGCATTAGAGGATTTACATTTAGAACAAAAAAATGTGAAAACAACTTTTCTCCATAGTGACCTAGAAAAAGTTGTATATATTACAGCATCAAGGAAAGAAGATGAGGTGTGTAAACTAAGAAAGAGCCTATAGGAATTGAAGAAAGTACGAATATAGTGGTATATAAGATTTGACAAGTTTATATTAGACAAAGAGTACACATAATGACTGGTAGATCATCATTATTTCTTTAAATATTTTGATAATTGCTATATATTTCTTCTTTTATATATGAATGATTTGCTAATTATAGGATCAAATATAAATAAGATAAGAGATTAAAAGAGTAGCTATCAAGTGAATTTGAAATGAAAGATTTAGTTCTAGCTGAGAAAATACTTGGTATGGAAATTAGCAAGGACATGAGCGCAGGTATATTGAAGTTATCTCAAGCTGAATATATCGAAAATGTGCTTCAGAGAATTAATATGAGTAAGACAAAGTCAATTTGCACTCCCTTAAGTAGGCACTTTCAACAATCTAAGAAACAATAGCTTAAATCTGAAGCAAAGCAAAAATAAATGAAGAGAACTCCATATGCTTCAACAATTGGAAGCTTGATGTATACTATGATATTTACAATACTAAATACAATATATGTAGTGGGAGTAGTTAGTAGATTCATGAGTAACCCAAAAAAGCATCATTGAGAGGAAATCAAATGGATTCTCATATCCTTAAGTGGGGCGAGTAACAATGCGATTTCCTTTGTTCATGTAGGGATCAAATTTTAGGGATATGTAGATTATGATCTTACTAGAGATATAAATGGAAGGAATATAATTGGTTATATCTTTACTTTAAGAAATAATGTGGCGAGATGGGTTTTCAAATTACAAAAGATTGTTGCTCTCTCAACTACAGAAATTGAATATAATGCTAACACTAAGGCTAACAAGGAAATAATGTGACGAACCACAATTTTGAAAAGAAAAATTAAAATGAAAACTTGAATTTTTATTTTGAACTAGAGTATAGTGACGTTAAGCCTTTGAGCGCTACGGTGTAAGGTCGAGGATGCAGCGGCATTGGAAAGTGCCACTGTGGTATTGGATCCTCTATTCTATAGTAATTCGGATTTCTACATGCAGTGCTACGGGCTGAGTGGTGGCGTGTTGACTTATGCAGCATAATACAACAAAAGAAATGAAATAATAATAATAAAATGTATGAATTATTACCTGCACCGGATATCTTACATGAAACAACCGCAAATCCTGCTTTGCTACAATCGCCCATACTCTGTAAAACGACGCCGCTGCAGGTCGCATAAGCCCCATTCCTATCGAGTTCCTTCCCATGTCAATAAAACGAGAAATGAAGGCCTCTGGCTCGCGTCTTCCTACACGCACAAGCTCCAGCCCGGCTCTTCTTCTACTTCGCTTCTTCCCCATCGCAAGCTCTCCGAAAATTCTCGCCTCTTCCAAGCATACAAACACCTAGCCTCTCTTCTTCCCCCAACCGAGTTCCTCCAGTCACTGTGCCAACACCTATCTCCTCAACCTCCCACCACTCACCTTCAACCTCTTACCAACGACCCTACTGTAGCCGAAGCCCTGTCCAGCTCGCAAACCCCTATAACCCCGACGCCTTGCCCGACCACTAGTCCATTCAAGAGAGAGAGAGAGAGAGAGAGAACTTCTCCCTACCTTGGCCTTCCTCCAGTCGAACTCCATCTCCTCTTCTTCCTGAAATTGCCACAACTCACCTGCTCTCCTCATCCGATCCATAGAAAGCAAACCAGCCTTGGTCGAATCCCTATAGGCTCTTCCTTTTCCGGTTCACTGGAGCCAAAATCCCTCAACCGACCTATTATAACCCCACCCCATCTCCCTCATAGCCGAATCTACCCATCACTAAACTTACCAAAATTCAGCCCACAATCCACTTAAGTCAATAGTAGTAAGTCAGCAAGTGTTTATTCTATTCATCTATTTTATCTATGTGGATTACTATTGTTAGTTTACTGTAATTGATTGCAATATTAATGTTGATAGAAGTATGTATGTGTGTGTATATATATATGCACAAAAGAGAAAAATTCAAAAACAAAAAGAAAAAAAAAAGGTTCAAATTAAAAAAAAAAAAGTTTCAAAATATTCAAAAAAAGAAGAAGAATATTTTTGTGCATCGTCACCGTCGTCGTCGCCTCTCCAACCATCTCACAGGTATAAAATTTCTTACTTAAAAAAACCCTACTCTTGAGGCTTGCGGCGAGCCAACAAACCTCCTACGCACTCACGTATCACAGAGGAAGGGAAACCAGTGCAACGCTTGCGGCGAGGTGGGTAATCCCAGGAGCTCTCATGTAGCGTGAGGGGGACGAAAAATAAGTACCCATACGTGGAGAAACAATTGTGCTCTTTTCAATAGGTGCCAAAAACTCTTAAGCGCTCATGTAACGTCACGGAGATTGAAAAAAACACATCCGCAGTGTCACTATACATCTACCTGAAGTGCTCATGTAGCGTGGAGGGGAAGGTTGTCTCTTAGTTTTTCCTCTAAATGAGGGAGATGCCAGGAGGCTGCCAAAATTCAAAGCAACTACAGGGGATTTGGATAAAGATTTTGGAACTTAATTTTAAGATAACTGGAGCATAAAATCAAACTTAATCAAATGAGGTTGAAAGGAGCCGAAACTTGGACTTGAGGAACTCAAACTTTAATGAAATACAAACGATTTGAACACATTACTGGACTTGTAATTACAAGGAAAAGAGCATAATACCTATGATTAAAATCTCCCAAGTGTTTAATATTGAACAAACAAAGCTTAAAGCTTGTGTTGAATAGAACTTTGATGTTAAAATGATGCATGATTTGATCACAAGCAAGGACATGAACAAATGCTGCAAATCATACAAAAATAATAATAAGGTATTTTGTATCAATCATGTAAGAAGATATGCAAAGATTTGTGATGGGAGAAGAACTCTGCATATGAACTGCTCACAAACAATGAACAAAGTCCTCAATTGAATATGAATGAAATAATGACATACTTGTAATTGCCGATACGATTCACCTACAAGTGAGGAGAGACAATTCGTAGTGAATATGATATTCTCCTATAATAGCTTCTATGCAAACAAATGCACCAGTTCATCGGGGAATAATATACTACTTGTGAAAATGTGCAGCGACCATGCAATAATCAACAATGATTAATGAAGAGGTGTGATATAATTAGAAATAGATGCACAAGAATATAATGATGAGTATTACGAGCCATATATGAATGATGGTGGCGCTCGTATTAGTCTCGCAGGAAAATATAACAAGTAGCAAGGGAGCTTTAATACGCATGTTGCACTTTTAATAAATGGTAATGAGAGTTATGTGGTGAATGTTGCAGCATTCTGACAACCAAATACCATTCACTAGAGGACAAAATACAGAAGATCCGTAGTCAATGTAAATACTTGTAAACAGTGCTAGAAGATCTGCATTCGAAGCAACTTGTTCGCATAAGACTGAAAATGCATATAGTGGCCCTACCAACTAGCTATGGTGGGAAAGTCGAGCTAGACATAATGCAATAGTTATTAGCTCTTAGATACACAGTACTGAAAGACATGCAAGAAAATGTGACAATTCGCCAATCAACGTATATAAGAAAGATAATGACAAATGTCACTATGCAATCAACATCAACATACGATTAAATGTATCAAATCATGTAGACAGTGACCAATCAAAATTACTAAGAATACAATGACCCTTGCGAGTAACTATGATTGATATGTCATAGGATGAATCTTATATGCATAAGGATACGCATGCGAGGTGTCATCTACAAGTAAAGAAGAAGGTCAGCAATACATACAGGTTCTCTACGAATACAGATGTACGCACCACATGCCACTTGTGGATAGATGCAGAAGGACTTCAATCAATGCAGTATCCTGAAGTCAATTTCAGTCTGTGATTAAATATATTTACCTGCCTACCTGCATGCAACAATAGCAGATGTATTGCAGGGACCAAAGACCACATCAAAATGTATAAAGAGTACAAAAAATGCAAATTCCTATGAGCAAATAACAAGAGATTCATTAGTGCACTACAATCCACCTGTAAAAAGTAACAAGTAGTGCACGACAGTCTACCTGTACAAAACGGGCAAATAATTATAGTACAATGCCACGCCACCAGATATACAACCTGTATACAAGCAGACAAAAGGCATGTACGAGCTTATAAATAGAATGTTGCATTCAAATGAGAGTCTCCCACACAACTGAGCAGCGTCAAATATTCTTGAAAGTGTCCCACGCACATGCATCGTAATTTGTATACACATATGTACACAAAAGGGGTAAATGCAATCACAAGACCTACATGCGCCCCGGCAAGTGTGTTATTTGTACACACGTGACACCTGGGGATATTGTGCGGGTCCATAAATGAATATAGTCTGAGTCCGATCCTTCTATATGAATAAATAGGAGTCAATACGACTCGAATTATCAAATAGATATACTATTAGGGTGCCGACTGGAATATATGTTTCATACATTCATATAAGACAATCAAGGCCTCCAACAAAAAAAATTCATTAATAAAACCACAAAGCCTAAGAATCCGATCATCTATCGAGCAGTAGATAGAGTTGACAAGATCCAATCAATGAAATTCCCAAATACTTTAAATTCATCCCGATGATAGCCGCGTTGAATATAAATCTCAACTTGAGGAGTTCATCCAAACATTTCAAATGTCATCTCAAATACCCGAAGATTCAAAAATCTTGAAATCAATCAAATCAAAAATATTTAAAATTGAAACTCAATCATCAACCACTCAAAGCAATATCCATCCACCATCTGTAATAGTTTGACGAGGTGGACAAATTTGAATATAACTTCAGCGCACATTGAGCTAAAAGCCTAGTTCAAAATATCACTAGAATCCATTATCAAATAATCTCCTGCCGATAAGGACGTGGTATGTGTTCTCTGACCGTAATTTTGCCGCCAAATGATACTGTAAGATAAACAGTTATGACTCGGGGCCCTCTGAAACAAGAGATTTTGCCGCCAAATGGCACCACAAGATAATAGTTATAGCCAAAGCCAATGCGTTCCTTCGTGACATCAAATCCTTGAGATATGAATCAATAGGATATAATCGATATGGCACAAAGCCCTCAGTTAGCTAAGGTGGATTACAATTTGTCCCCTTAGGCAAATACCCACCCTAAGTATATAAGGTTTCTTTGGACGAAGCAACCAATGACTGCTGACAAGATTCCTTCTATCAGGTTGGGTCGACCACCTCCTTTGACTAAGTAGACCAAGAACCACGATGGTCCGGGATGATAGAACAATGTGATATTGATCGAGCTCATCATCACCCCCATCATTCGCTTTAAGTACAAGATGGTGAAATTTTTAATTTTAAATATCCAATCTTCACATTTCCAAATTCCTAAACTCATGCTGCTACTATATTCCAAATAACATATATTCTCTACGTATCTGATTGACGACTGGCCTTAATATAAAATTCTCTCTCGTTATCGAGAGGAGCAATTAACTATAGGGCTTGCGCCTATAGGAAACCAAAACTTAAATCATAAAGTCCTCATAAAATGAGGGAGAAATCTCTGGGTAGTGTCTTATTTACAAACTCATCTGCCATCCAAAATTTACCCCAGAACTTAATTTCGTTAAAACTCCCATGAAGAAAAGCAAGCGAGGGAGGCTGGGGCCAAATTTTCGGAGCCCACATGGTGCTATGGCGTTGTGCAAAAAAAATAGTTTATATATATAATTTCTCTCCACTCAACCTCCTCCCTCACCCACCAGCACCGACTTGTGTGAGAAGAGATAGGAGAGAGGAGGGAGAGAAGCGAAAGAGAGGAAGAAAAAGTTCATATTTTGGACACCGATATGCTTCGCCACATTTATAAAAAAATTACAAATTAAGATAGCTGACTCAAATTCTACTTCATTTTTTCAGATATTTTGATTTTGACTGTTAAATTCTCCTTAAAATTAATTTTACTATAATTTCCCCATTTTATAGAACTTCCATCACCTAACTTTTCATATGTTATAGTATTGAATATTCTGAATGATTTAGGTGGTTGAATTTGAGACTTCACTGGGTATAATTAAAATTATGCTATTTTATTTGATTTGCTTATAATAGAATTTTAATATTTTATAAATGTGTATTGTTAATACAAACATTGAGAATAAATTATTTGATTGCCTAATAGTTGGTTGCCATTACTTTTATAATAATATGTGTGTATGAAATAAGTAAAGATTGATTAACCTATTGGTTAAAGATTGATAAACCAATACAAGATGGTGGGCCGACATACTTTTCTTTAAATATATTGGTTTGATGTTAACCTCTAGTGATTCACGCGAAACAATGATACAATAATAGGGAGTTATAAAGAGTTATTACTATATCGACGGGCATGGAGTGATGACTCTATTTGCTGAACTAACGGTTACTGACTGCCGATTACCAAATACTGAAAAAATATTGTGATAGCAAGAACTCCTTGTTGAATAATATTGAAGACGATTACTGAAATGCATGTTATTTATTAATTATTAATGTTTAACTTGATAGTTACTTCGTTGAGTTAATATTACTACACTATTACCACCATATTGTTTTACTTTCTACTGATTATTGTTTTATTTCCATTATTATTGATACACTATATTGGTTACTGATTTACATTACTAAGCACATGATAGATTGAGTAATGTAAAAAGCATGTGACTAAGATTTCGATATGATATTGACGTAGACTAGCTTGACAG